TTTCTTTTCATAAAGTATATTTGACAACCAGAATATGATAACCCAAATATTTGGGGCTCGTTCATTGTCTGTCTCTAGGTACTCCTTGCATGCATGAGAGGTATACAGAACATGAATATAACACATGCTGCAAAATGAACTGAAAGTAGACACTCTAAGCAGTGTTTATTTTACTTGCTCAATATATAATGGGTAGCAGACAACTTAACATCAAATGTAGAATGAAATGTTTTTCAAGAACCATGATATTCAGTCTAACGCACAGAAGTGAGGAATGGCCAAACAGAAACTGCTCAAACGGATTGAAACACGTTACATGTCTATCATAAATGTTTTCCATGGTGCAGGTAATCCATTACTAATTAGCTCATGCAAAAAAGTTAGATTGTTTGATGCCACACTGCTAGCCTAAGAATTACAGAAACATGGTGTTTTAGGGTCCGTTTGGTTGGGCTTTTGGCTTTGGCTTTTGGCCTCAAAAGCCAAAAGCCCAACCAAAGGGGCTGCTTTTCCAGGCGGCTTTTATAGAAGCAGCTGCTTTTCCGTAATACATTTTTGAAAGCTGGTTTGACCCTGCTTTTGGCTTTTGGCTTTCTACTTTTCGAAATTGATGGAATAAAAAGCTCTTCCTTAGTTGTTTCAAGAGAGATAAAGATAGAAGATATATTTTATACTTGTTTAACCAAACAGCTTTCAACTTTTCTACAGCCCACAGCCCACAACAGCTTTCCCACAGCTCATAGCCCACAGCAGCTTTTTCCCACAGCCACAGCTCAACCAAACACACCCTTAGTCTATACAACCTATCAGAATATACCATAACTAGTTCCATGAGATAATCTTCAAATACTCACGAAATACTAGTGTAATAGATTGAGTACGAATGGTTGTTGAAATCATGCAAATACAAACAGGTCCTATATGACACCATCTTGTCAAAAACTGCAGTTACAAAACATGAATTGCATGTTACTGCAGAAATACAAGTTGAATATTCATTTCTGTCAAAAAAAAAGTAATCATTACATACATTCAACAAGTGACAGCAGGTAATTTTTCTCAACAAATTATGGCAATGTTTCAGGGTCATTCATCTTAGGGCATGTACAGCGCGTCGTCTGGACCCGTCTGTGTCTCGTGCATCTTGCAAAACCCCCCTCGCGAGCTGGGATCGAGGCGAGGTCGTCGTCTCGCGAGACGACGACGACAGCTCGTGCTCCCAGGCCAAGTCGCCCGGAGAAAGACGCGCTGTACGGGATTGCCGTCTACAAGCGCCAAGGCGCGGGATCCAGCATGCCGCCGCACAGGAGAAGCAAGCCTCGCGCCAAAATATCCCCATCCCCTCCTGAAGCGCACCTGGCCGGCGGCCGCGGCACCGTGCGCTCCCTTGGCCAGGCGGCCGTTGCGTCGCGCGCTCCCTGGCTGAGCGGTCGGTCGGATGCCCCGCTTCCCTGGCCGGGCGGCCGCCCCCTCCCTTTGTCTTTCATGATTGCAATAAGTTTGAGTTTCTTGGATTGGGAGGAGTGTGAAGTTTAGTTTGAGTTTCTTGGATTGGGAGGAATGTGAAGTCCATGTTCTAGTTCTGCCTATGTTTTCTGAAGGAGGATGTTACCAGGTTGCGTAATTTTGGTTGGTCCTTCTGAATTCAGGTAGCTGTACGTCCATATGTTTTATTATTCTACCTATTGGTCTGATTACCCACAAGGAATTGAATTGCCGCCATATCAGCTAAATTTTAATTTTACATCAGGTTGCGTAGGTTTGCTGATTGCAGCCATATCATCTAAAGAATGGTGAACCCGCTTGTGGATTTTGTATTCAATCTGAAACAACAGAGCTATCTGTCATGTGTGCATTCAGCTATAGGCTGTGGTAGATCTGAATTTTACATGGTTTTTAATTCTATGGATTATCTGTAAAATTGCACTCTCATTTGGAGAACCTGTTCAGTTGAGTTATTTACCAAATATACTTTCTGCATACTGTTAGCTGTTTTCTGAGCGACTGAATGTATGGTGATATGACTGAATGCTCTCACATACTGCTTGCCGTTCTAAAAAAGTTAAAAACTGCATACTAATTTATTTTGTGCCAGTGATGTGGCAAATAAGAAATTTATATCAGACTGAACATGTTGCTACTTGTGAATGAGAATGCGAGCACATATGACAGCACTATGAAAAAAATGCAATCATATTTAGTGTATATGTTTGATCTAATTTGTGTCAATTAGCAACGCAATGGTATACAAAAATGATATTCATGATTGATCATGGTTATACGAAGCATTAAATAACTTGTAGACAATCAAATAGACAACTCTTGTCTGTGGGTTGTACGAATTGTCTATTTAGTTGTCTATATTGTAAATTCCAAGAACTTGTAGACAACGCCCGTCTATGGGATGTACATGCCCTTAGTTCCCTTCAATATCTCGAAGCTAGGTTGCTAATCAAATCTGAACTCTAAAGTGTGTTAGTGTGTTACCAAAACAAGCATGAAATTTTGATTTTTGAAAAGCACAACAAACAAAATAATTTAAGCAACAATTTTCAAACCAACTGAAAACTATGCCAACGGTTAAGCTTTACCATGCATTCTTTGTAATCCACCTACGAGCCCTAAATTGCATAACTTAGTCATCACATCAGCTAGTTATTCATAAACCTGAATTTTCCAGGTACACGTTACTGCAATTAGCTAAATTTGCATACTACCTTCTCAGTTTACCAATTAGAGTTTTGCGTAATTGTGTCAGTTAGCACAATTTAAACAACCACCTTCTTGAAATGTCATAAGAACTCATACCTTCTTCCTGCAGAACTCAAACAGGGGGCTCAGATACCGCGCACACTGCTTGAATGTTGCAACCATCGACTTCCCCTTTGCTGTCCGCTTCTCCAGCTCAGTCATCTCATCCAGCTCCTGATTCCACTCATTAAGCAGCTTCTTAAAGAACACTAAAATCTTGTCTTCGTTGCAAAGCTCCTCAAACTTGGTCCTCATCCTCTTAGAGTCCTTGTCTGCATCAGCATCATCGCCACTCCCCTTGGCATCCCCATCATCTGCACTGTCTCCAGCAGCACCCCCGTCGCCACCATCACCTCCACCTACACGCTTGCCCTTGCCCTTGGCGTAGGTGTCCCTCCCGGCCTTCTGCCGCTTGCGCATCTCGATCATGTCGCGGAGGAAGTCGTTGGTCTGTCCCTCGGTCATGTCGATGTCGTCAATGTCGTCGATGACGCCGGACTTGAGCACGAGCTTGAAGCGCGCGAGGCGGGCGTCGTCGTCTTCACCGAACAGCGTGACGGGCTCGCGCAGCACGCGGAGGCGCCGCACCACCTCGTGCCGCGGGAGGTCGAGCTCGTCGATGCGACGCTCCTCGGAGAGCAGCGCCTCCTCCTGCGTGGTCTTCTTCGGCGCCAGGGCGGGCGGGACAGAGGGCGCCGACGAGGCGGAGGAGGAGCTAGGGTTAGGGTTCGCCGCCGCCGCCTGAGCTGCGGCGTCAGGGTTGCTGGTGTCGGAACCGGTGGCATCTGCGGCGAAATCCGCGGAGGTCGCCGACGCGCTGGCCTTGGCGAGGAGCTGGCGGTGCTCGTCGCGGCGCTTCTGGAGCTGCTTCTGCTCCAGCTCCGACCGCCGCACGAAGCTTTTGCCCCCGAAGTCGGCCGTCGCCGCCTTCCGCTTCTTCTCCAGTTCCCGCTTCAGCAGATCCATTACGCCCGCCGCCCGGCCCGGCTAGGCTTCGATTCTCCGAGAGGCGGTGCGCCGTGCCGGTGCTGCGGATACCGGCCGTGTCCGTGTATTTGACCGTTCCCCCAGATAGAAGAGGACTCCGACTTGGCTCCTGTAATCCTGTTGTGTGCTAGTAGTACTACTAGCAAATAAGGCGCCGCAGAGAAACCGGCCCGATTCACTTTGAGCCTTTTACCTATATACCATTATAAAAGATTAAAATTATCTGTGTATCATCGAAATTTTCAAAAGTTTCTCACTGCCATCGAATGAAATTTCTTTTCCCTTATTGCCACTCCCGTCACTCTACCGTTTAATTTTAACAGAGCTGGGTGCCAACTAGATGCCAAATAACTCTTTTGCCCATCACTATTTCTAGTCAATCCACGTCTCCGTGGCTTCTGGTTCATTTCGAGCTTTTCGTTCACCACCTGAAGGGGAACCCTAGAGCTTGTGGAACAGGGAGGCGCGGGCGGCCGAGCCTGCGCGGAAGGAGGCGCGGCCGCGAGCGCGAGGGAGCATCCGCTCGGGCCTCGGAGCGTCGCGCGCGGGGCGTCAGGGCGGGCGCAGGAGATACGCGCTGGGGCAGCTTCTGCCGCCGCCCTCGACTGTCGTGGACAGGCCGCCACGTGCCAAGGCTGGTCGGGCCAGGGCAAGGCGCGGGTGAGGCCCGTCGCCGCCAAGCTCTCGCGCCCATTCCCTGCCACCGGTGACCTCCAAGCCACCGGAATCGACGATTCCCGCCGCCTCTGTTTCCTGCGTCGAGAGGAAGAAGAAGAGGGAGTGGGAAAAGAAATAGAAACTTTAGCTGGGTCCAGATGCGAAACTCGTGACTCGTATGAACAGGTGTGAACAATGCTAGTTGACTACGGGTTGATTAGTGAAAGGTCCACGGTGCCTAGTGCAAAGTGCCTGTTTCTAGTTTTTCTTTTTCTTTTATTTATTACATATAATAATCGACTGAAATTTAGAAAATCCATAGCAAAGCGTAGAAAATGCTAAAATGGAAAATCCAGTTTTGTTGAAAAATGGAAATCTAGTTTTACTAAAATGAAAAATGCATATCGATGATAAATTTGGACCTCTTTTATGTCTGAATGTACTTAATTTAAATACTTATTTTGGCTGTTGCAATTGTCAATTTTTTTGGATGTATCGCAAATTTACTGTATTTATTAGAATTTTTATGTGCACATATACAAGTTATTACAGTGAATTTTTTTATAGCGGTATAGAGGAAAAAGTGAAGTTTTTTTTTGTAACACATGCGGTTACAGTGGCACAAGGGGAAAATCAAAATTTTGATGCATTCTACCACTGCAAAACTATCTTTTCGGTTGACTGTTATCTGTTGTTACCGGCAAAATAGACGAAAGTGGTACGTAGGGAAAAGAAGTTTCGTGCAAGGTACGTGAGAACTTTTGAAAATTTCAATGGTATCTTTTATATAATGGCACACGGCTAAAAGGCTCGCTCACTTTCCCATCGCGTGAAGAGGGGCGTTGCCGTTACCGACCATGTCGCAGCAGACGGCACCGCCGCCGCCGCCGTATCGGCCGTATAGGCAAGTGCGGGAGGCGACGCCCCACAGCCGGGCGGTCTCCTGCGTGCGGTTCTCCCCCTGCGGGCGCCTCCTCGCGACAGCGTCCCTCGACGGAACGGTCGCGCTGCTCTCCCCGTCCTCGCTCGCCGTAATCGCCGTCCTGCGCGGCCACTCCGACGGCGTCTCCGACCTGTCCTGGTCCACGGAGTCGTACTACCTCTGTTCCGCCTCCGACGACCGCACCATACGCATCTGGGACATCCGACCCGTCCTCGCCGGAGGCGCCCAGGCCGCCGCCGCCGACCCCGGCGCCGACCGCTGCATCCGCGTGCTCAAGGGGCACACCAACTTCGTCTTCAGTGCCAACTTCAACCCGCAGACCAGCTCGCAGATCGCCTCCGGGGGATTTGACTGTACCGTGCGCATTTGGGATGTCAAGAACGGCCGATGCACCCGCGCCATCGAGGCGCACTCTGAGCCCGTCACTTCCGTGCATTTCATTAGGGACGGATCCATCGTTGTATCCGGAAGCCATGATGGGAGCTGCAAGATTTGGGACGCCAAGACCGGGGCTTGCCTCAAGACGGTCATCGATGAAAAGAAGCCCGCGGTCTCCTTCTCCATGTTCTCGCCCAATGGCAAGTTTATCCTCGTCGCCATGCTCGATAACTCACTGGTATGGCCAATTAGCTCGTTGTTGATTCATAATAATACTCATTTAATGATCAGCTTCTCATACAGGATAAAGTCTTTGTGATGAGAATGTCTAGGTTTAGCCATAATCATAGTTCACAAGAAGCTCATAGATATTTCTTTCCTCACGCACTATCAACTGCAAATTACTCATAATCATTTAGGATGGGAAGCTCCTGATATTTTTCTTGTCATATGCAAACCAGAATCCCTGGTGTCTAGCTCTAGCATAGTCTTTTTCAGGTACTTCTGCGTATCTAGGTAATATTAGTGCATTTTGGATAGGTAACGTCAGACTCTAGACGTTTTGTCCTGATTTTCAGTTTCAAATGAATATCTTTTGACTATGAATTAGAAGTTGAAAGCCCACCCCAACTATGCTGTCTGAAGCTACAGTATTGATCTTTGCAAACTGATTGCAGATCTGCTCTGCTTCAAGCAGCAACAATGCTATTTTATTCTATACTACAGGTTATCTTAGTGTATCCTTTCTCCTGCATAGATGCACTATTTTTTTAAAACCACAAAATACAGGTATGGAATAACTAAAATTCAAATCTTTAGGTTCATGACTAAATTAGTTTGTTTATACTTTCTTACCAGTTTCCTGCCATTTCTCTCTCTTAGTGCTTCCTGCCACTTATAAGGAATAACCACACAAGTTTGAACCATTTGTTCTCCTGGTTGTGAAGGAATTGTTCAGAGTATTTATAGCAGTGCTCATCTTAAAATTCGTTGTACAACTATTATGACTGCAATTGTCATTGATTAAGTCTTATTGGCATGGAAGGTCCGTGTGCCACCAGCCCACCAACAGGGATGGAAATTTTAGATATTATGAACTGCCATGGTCTGAATCATTGTAGTGGAAGGAAATCATTCTAGGGTCATTGAGTTTTAGGGTGGTTTGTCTGTTAGTTAATGTTTTTCCCCCAAAAAAAATGTAGCTGTAACATATGTTCACATTTAACATATTGCCATGCACATGTCAAGTGCACCTGTCCTTGGTATTAATTTGATCCACGGCAACCACAGGACATTAATAAACCCCCCTCCGAGCTTCATGTACGCTGGTTAGTGGCATTTTTGTTTCATACTTCCATGTCATGTAGCTGAGTTGCCAGCACAGTTTTATTCATAATTGTAGTTGTGCTTTTTTTTACATTAAATTGTAGTTGTGCTTTCTTGCACACGAGATATTTAATTTGTTCAAAAATTTGTGGTTGCTAAAATGTGCCTCCTAACTTATTATTGCACCTTGCAGAAGCTTTGCAATTTTGCTACCGGCAAGTTCTTGAAGGTATACAGTGGACATGTGAACAGACAATACTGCATCCAGTCTGCGTTTTCTGTTACGAATGGGAAGTACGTTGTCAATGGATCAGAAGACAACTGCGTGTATATATGGGACCTCCAAGGGAGAAATATTCTTCAGAAACTAGGAGGCCATACAGACACTGTCATCTCGGTGTCCTGCCATCCAACAGAGAATAAGATTGCTTCTGGTGGCCTTGATAATGATAGGACTATAAGATTATGGGTTCAAGATAGTTGATCAACTTGCAGGTGTGAACTTCGCTCAGACCAGACCTAACAACACTTGGCTATCAATGAGAAATATGTCTGCTTCCCATGGATCACTCTTCCAGAACGTTCACAACTTTATTACACGCAAAAAAAGGCATTAACCATGCGAGCTTTATTTTAATCTAATGTGTTATCCTAAGTTGTGAACGTCAACAAATCAACATTTGTCATAATGTTGTGGTATGTGATGCCCAATGGCTGTATTACAATCAATATTGGTGCTCGTAGTTTGCAAAGTTTCGCCCCTGTAAGATGCAAGATACGGATACTTTGTTGTTAGCTATCTAGAAGACCTGGAGCACCGCCCTCGGAGTGGTCTGCGACGACATGGAGGTAGTGAGGTCGGAGGGGATCAGCTCGCTCACGGCCCGTGCCATCAAGATCACGGCGTGGGTGCGCCAGCTTGAGAGGAACGCCCTTCGCGCCGGGGTTAATCAATCCTTCACGATTGCTCGTTCTCATTACGGGGATAGCATCGACCTGGAGACGATGAGCCACGGCTTCGCGCCTGGCTATGAAGCCCACGAGCTGGAGGAGATGGAGACGACAGTGGCTCCCCTTTCGTAGGACCTGGCGGACAGAATAGAAAGCATAGTTCTCCCTCCGGAGGGGTTAGTTAGTGAGATAGCTCGGGAAATTATTCATGTAACAAGCGGACAAGCTCCGACCTCTCTGCACTTATGCGAACAAACTTATCATTTTATTTCGTTTGATCGAATTTATTTTTCCTCCCTTTTTATGTGTGAAAAGGGGTTCGTGTGTTCTGACCCTACCGTTTGTTAGGACCGTAGGGCCCGAGGTGTAGGAGGAAAACTCTGATCACGCTGGTAGGCAAAAGTGTCGTAGCCGCTGTGGGCGTAGGTTTCTTGTAGTCCGACCAACCTTGCCCAGTTGCTCGTTTCCGCAGACATTGCCACTAGGTTTAACGTGAGGAAGAGGTCGGGCGCGGCGACTGTTTTAGAAAGGGTGTATTTATGCCCTTATCAGCCCCCGAGTGAGATCCGACCCCTTGTCGTTGCTGGGGTCGGGTATCACTAAAGATCGAGGAGAGGATAGCGAAATTAGTAGGAGAAAACGTCTCTTGTTTTCGTACGTACCCCCTCCCTAGGATCTGAGCCATCGTTCTGCGACCGCGTATTTGGTCTCCTTGCGAGTCCAACTTTCCTCGAGCCCCCGCGCGTAGCAGGGTTCCGGTCAAGGGTCGGCTCGTCTTTGTGATTGTCACCCCGTCCGCGGTTTCCGCAATCGGAGGGGTTGAACTAACGTTACTTGCCTCGATGGCTCGAGTGTCGCGCTTCGGTGAGCTCGCTAACGGGTATGTTCGAGTGGAATCCGGGTTCGTCGTTCGTAACGGGGTCGGCATAGCCCTCATGTGGCATTCCACTGCTCCTTAACCCGCCTCCCGATAGATATCTGAGTCGTTCCGGAGACCGACTCAGGTGGCCCGCTGGGCTCCCCTCGATGGAGATTCTGTGGGCACGGCTCAAGGTTAGGATCGAACGAGATGGTCGAGATGACCCTGTTCGCTTTTGAGCGGGTCGGGCAAAGGTCGTTGGGGCTCATCTGCGTTTTCTCCCCTAGCACTGTTTGACGTGAGGCGGCCTCAAGCCCTTCGCGGGTCGGTCTTCGAACCCCGGTCGGTTGTCGCTCATGTTGAATAAGACGACTGTCGCTTCATGTCGCGATGCGAAGCGTTGTGATGCAATAATTGCATATGCGATGCTTGGATGTATGAGAATGGATGAATGAATGCTCATGCACTAGAAAGGTAAAGTGTGGGTTGGTAAAGTTACATCGATGGTTCGAGTGACGGGTTCGGGGAGCTCTTACCGGATATGTTCGAGTGGAATCTAGGTCCGTCGTTCATGACGGAGTCGGCATAACCCGCATAGGGTATCCTACTGCTCCTTACCCATCTCTCGGCAGTGGCCCGAGCCGTCCGATTAACTTGGGTGACTTACTGGCATAGGACTTAACTCAATGGCTCGAGTGACGGGTTCGGGGAGCCCTTACCGAGTATGTCCAAATGGAATCTGAGTCCATCGTTTGTGACGGAGTCGGCATAACCCGCATGGGGCATTCTACTGCTCCTTACTTGTCTCTCGGCAGTGGCCCGAGCTATTCGATCGACTTGGGTGACCCGCTGGCACATGACTTACCCGCAGAGATAGAGGATGAGATCATCCCCTCCAAGAAATTAGTTAGGAAGATAAACCAGGCGACGAACTCGTAATAAGTGGATAAGTTCTTAAATTTTGTTATGGCCAAACAAATTTTTAGCCCTTCTCCCCTTTTGTATAAAAAGATTAATGCGTTCTGACCCTTTCCGTTGTTAAGGTTGTAAAGCTCGAGGTGCGGGTGAACAAACTCTGATCACGCTGGTGAGCAAAAATGCCGTAGCCGCTGGGGCGTAGGTTTCTTGCAGTTCGACCAGTTTTACTCATCGTTCATCTCTGCAACCCTTGCTTCTAGATCTTAACGTGAGAGAGGGTCGGGCACAGAGAAGGTTTGCCAGGTGGATATACTCTTAAATGCGTCCCGGCTCTTTCCGTAGTTAAGGCTTAAGAAGCTCGGGGTGCAGAAAAAAAACTCTGATCACGCTGGTGAGCAAAAATGTCGTAGCCGCTGGGGCATAGGTTTCTTGCAGTCCGACCAATTTTGCTCAGCGTTTGTTTCTACGACCCTCGCTTCTAGGTCTTAATGTTAGAAAGAGTCGAGCATAGAGAATGTCTACTGGATAGATATGCTCTTATCATCCCCTGAGTGAGGCCCGACCCCCTGTCGTTGCTGGGGTCGGGTGTCACTAAAGATCGAGGAATTGATAGCGAAACTAATAAGAGAAAGCGTGCGTAAATTAAGGATAAAAGTGATGTAGCTATTCGATGTTCCAGGCATTGATGAAGACTTCACCGTCGATGGTCCTAAGGTTGTAGGTGCCTGGTCGAAGCACCTCCACGATGACGTACGGTCCCTCCCACGGTGGAGAGAGCTTGTGGCGGTTCTTGTTGCTTTAGACGAGGTGGAGCACTAGGTCCCCGACGTTGAAGGCCTGACCCCGCACTCAACGGTTGTGGTACTGGCGCAACGCTTGCTAGTACTTGGCTGAGCGGAGGAGGGCAACATCGCGCGCTTCATCTAGCTAGTCCATGGCATCCTTGAGGGACGCCTCAGCTCCCTGTTTGTCGTACGCCCTAACGCTTGGCGCTCCATAGTCGAGGTCGGTCGGGAGGACAGCCTCGGAACCATAGACCATGAAGAATGGCGTGTAGCCGGTGGCCCGGCTGGGGGTCGTCCTCAGGCTCCAGAGCACCACAGGAAGCTCCGCGACCCATCACCTACCAAACTTGTTCAACCGGTTGAATATCCTAGGTTTGAGGCCTTGTAGGACCATGTCGTTCATGCGGGGGTGTGCCCCGGTGGACCAATCGACGTGGATGTGGTAATCATCGTAGAATAGGATGAACTTCTTTTTGGTGAACTACGTGTCATTGTCCGTGATAATGGAGTTCATGACTCCAAAGCGATGAATGATGTCAAGGAAGAACAACACGGCTTGTTCGGACTTGATCACAAAGATCGATCGAGCCTCTATCCACTTTGTAAACTTATCTACAGCGACAAGCAAGTGCGTATAGCCCTCGGGCGCCCTCTTAAGAGGTCTGACCAGATCGAGCCCCCAGACCATGAACGACCATGTGATGGGGATCATTTGGAGTGGTTGGGCCGACATGTTAGTTTGTCGAGCGTAGTATTGACACCCTTCATAGGTGTGCACAATCTGTTCAACATCGGCTACTGTGGTCGGTCGGTAGAAGCCTTGTCGAAACACATTTTTGACCAGGGTCTTAGGCGCGGCATGGTGCCCGCAGACCCCACCGTGGATCACTCAGCAACTGCTTCCCTCGTTCGATGAGGATGCAGCGCTATAGGATCCTGGTGTGGCTTCGCCTGTAGAGCTCGCCCTCAATAAGGGCAAAGGACTTGGCGCGATGCGCGAGCCACCGAGCCTCTATTTTGTCCGTCGACAGCGCCTCACGGAGGAGGTAGTTGAGGTAAGATGTCCTCTAGTCGGCTAGAGGGTCCGGCTCTGTCACTGGATCCTCATCAAGCTCCATGACTTTGGGGTCGGATGGAGCCAATGGATGGTTAGCCCTCGAGCCTAGGGTAGGCAACCCATCACTGGATTGTTCTGGCTCCTCGTGGTGGACCGAGGGCTTGTACTGATCACTGATAAAGATGTCCTTTGACACCGGCTCTTGGCCGGACACCATTTTTGCTAATGCATTGATCGCCTCATTGAGACGCCTCGGGATGTGATTGAGCTCGAGACCGTCGAACTTGTCCTCCAGCTGGCGGACTTCTTGGCAATATGCAGCCATCTTGGCGGTGGGGAAGCTTGATTCCTTTATGACTTGGTCGATGACCAGCTAGGAGTCGCCTTGGACGTTGAGCCATCGGATACCCAACTCGATGGCGATGCGTAGGCTATTGATGAGTGCCTCATACTTGGCCACATTATTGGAGGAGGGGAAGTGAATGCGAACCATGTACCTCATGCGTACCCCGAGGGGCAAAACAAAGACTAGCCCTGCACCAGCGCCTTTCTTCATTAGCGATCCATCGAAATACATCATCCAGTACTCTTGGTCGATGACTGCTAGCGGCATTTGGACCTCAGTCCATTCTGTAACGAAATCAGCCAGCACTTGGGATTTCATGGCTGTCCGAGGGGCATATGAAATGCCTTGACCCATCAGCTCGAGTGCCCACTTCATGATTCTTCCTGTGGCATCCTGGTTTTGGGCGACCTTACCGAGAGGGAAGGACGTCACGACCGTCGCTGGATGCGACTCGAAGTAGTGATGCAACTTCCTCATGGTGATAAGGACGGTGTACAGGAGTTTTTGGATTTGGGGGTAGCGAGTCTTAGAATCAGACAAGACCTCGCTAATAAAGTACACGGGATGC